ATGGGCACACCTCGACGGTCGTCCTACTTGCTTAACCAACATGTCGTCAGACCGTCCATCTCGGTGGACCCACTGCCTCCCTTTGTGCCTGACTTGACAACTCTGGGCAATGATCAAAGCACTCGCCCGTCCATGGATATCGATCGTCCTTTGTCGGAGTTCATCGGGCCTTCTTCCAGCCGTCCTACTTTGTCAAGGTCAACGAAAAAGCACATTCGGCAAAAGTCAAGCAGGACAAATAGATCCCTCGACTCAGCCGTCGTCCACCGGCGCACTACCTCATTTGGAAGTACCTTCAACCCGCGCTCAACAGTCAAGAGCTTCGACGCGACCACGTACACTGAAGGCTCCGTCGCTGACGAGGATGAGCCGAGCCCCGTACCTCAGCCGCTCCGGATTCTGAGAAGACGACCAGGTGGAAACCTGCGCGCATTCAACAACGGGGGCGACGGGGATGCCTTGCCCTTGCGTAAGTCACGGTCGGCAGGCTCCCTCACAACCTATTCAGAATCCATGCGAAGCTCCTATTTGCAGAGCCCCAAGCATGATTCTAGTGCGTTCGTTGACGTCGTGTCGAGCGAGTTCTCCCACCGAGGCGATGCCGATAATTTTTCCCTGGGCGCAATGGCTGAGCCATCGGCAAAAAGACAACTCTCGCTCTTCAGCACCCACTCGTCCAAGCCCATCATGCGTCCTTCATTTGAAGCTGAGGCGCAGAAGCTCGCCCAAATTCCCGACGATGAAGATGATGGTGGTGTAGAATCAGCATTGGCCAAGTTGGAAGGCAAGTATGAGAAGAAATCTTTCAAATTGTCCATGGAGCCCACAAATGCTCCTCTCCAAGGTGTCGATACTGCAACGGATCTTGAAGGTGAACCCGCTGAGGCGCAAAAGCAAGAAAAGAGAGGGCATCGTCACTTGCACGTTCTTCCTGTGGACGCCGCCGCCATGGCCCAACAAGAAGAGGGGTCAGAGCCCCGCTCCAGCTTTCTCGACGTTACCAACGGACCTCGAACCGATGCGAGTTCTTTCTTATCAGATAACTCGGCAGGCTCGTATTGCTCCATTCCTCTTCTTGAAAGAGGTTTGGCAGACGATGGCCAGAGTAAGGCATCCGCGCGGGAATGGACCAACATGTCTGTTCTTCAAGACCCCGAGGAAGAAATTTCACCAGCAGTGACTCCTCGCCCAATGTTCGAGGGATCATCTCACACATCTTCGTACGAGTTCATCCGGAAGACGGAAAGCCTGGAAAAGATCAAGTCGGGCTATTCCCCGCCGAGCGAGCAGTCATTTTTAGATGACGACAGTGATGGAGAAGACTTTGGTTCTGACCTTTCGTCCGAGCTGTCAGCCGAGATTGTCGAGCCCGAAGAGTTTGCCATGAACCAAACACAACCTCTTCCGGACCGCAATGCTCACCGCAGTGCATCCATTCTGGAGTTCGATCCTCGACCCTTGAGAGAGTCGACCATGGGTCCTTCAGACAGCCGAGAACCTCCGTCGCCACCAATGACGCTTGTCCAAGCTCTCCAGATGTCACCTGAGGCCGTCCTGGTTCCCGAGCTTCACGAACATCAGGTGTATCAGCAAAAGCCCCTACCGCCGACTCCCGACACCACTCCGGGGGCGAACCAGCCCAACTCGCCACTTGACCCTACCGGCACCAGAGAAGCACTGCGCGGGCAGCCAAAGTACTCTGAACGCGAAAGAGAATCGTCCTTAAGATTCTCTGTTCACTTACCGTTCACGCTTGCGTTCGACTCGGAGATTCTAGCTCAACAGTTCACGCTGATCGAAAAGGATGCTCTCAATGAGATTGACTGGAGGGAACTCATCGACATGGGTTGGAAGAATGCTACCAACAACGACTCTCGGTCCTGGGTTGATTTCCTTCGCAACACGGATGCTCATGGCGTTGAGGTTGTCATTGCGCGCTTCAACATCATGGTGAAGTGGGCATGCAGCGAGATCGTGCTGACTCAAAATATTGAGGAAAGAGCACGATGCATCATCAAGTATATCCACATTGCTGCTCACTGCCGCCGATACCGCAACTTTGCGACCATGAGTCAGATCGCCATCGCCCTGACTTCGATGGAAATATCTCGGCTTACAAACACCTGGGCCATGGTACCACCTTACGATATGCAGACTCTGCGGGAGTTGGAAATTCTCATCTCCCCTACCCGCAACTTCTACAACTTGCGTGCCGAGATGGAAGTTGGCTCTGACACAGGCTGCATTCCATTCGTAGGCATCTACACCCATGACCTTCTCTTCAATGCTCAAAGACCCTCGGAGATTGCTAGCTCCCCAACCACTGCACCGCTGGTCAACTTTGAGAGGTGTAGGTACGCCGCGACCATTGTCAAAACACTGTTGAGGCTGCTCGAGGCCAGCACACTCTACGAATTCCAACCGGTTGAGGGTATCACCGAGAGGTGTCTCTGGATGAGTGCTCTAAGCGATGAAGAGATTCGCAAGCACTCTCATCGTCTGGAGTAAGCCAGCTATTGGCATCCTTCATGGCGCGTAATTACAAACAAATAAACCTCACGAACGCCAGTACGACCGCTTCGGGTTTGGACCCTCAGAAAACACCCCTGCATCATACGTGCGCCCTGCACGCGACCTTCGCTCACGCCCAAGTCTCCTTTCTCTCACATCATCATACGTGACGAACGCGTATCCCGACTACATCACTAATTCGATGCTCATTTTGGGCATCGTCATTTTTCACGTCGCCCTGCTTTGGTTTCAAAGCAGTGGCCATATACCCTGTACTGATACTTACAATATGATATCACCGGAACCTTATTTAAGGCTCAGCAACTGGAGGGGAGGGGAGAGGAAGAAAGAACAGGCCAGGGATGGCCGAGCATTGCACATAGATAGCGATGGTCTATACCCCTTACTTTGCGTCATTTAAGCGAGCGAGCGACCATATCAACTAGGACAAGGAGTTGAGAGGGAGGAACAAGGGGATCTTTTTAACCGGAAGGGAAAGGACATTTTGGGTGTCCTGGGCTCGAGATTTTCTCGGGCAACGTTCAATACCCCTTTTGCATGTTGGACTTCGGCTCAAGGAGGCGAGTCGATTAAACAAACATATTCAGATTCTTCAAAACCTTGTGCACCCATCTTTGACTCTGATATGATGTCTATGCATGCGTACGTGAGAACAGAAACTTCGGTGTGATGTACCTTGAGCAACACCTTGCTGGCTTCGAAAGGGCTAAGCTAACCGACACAACACTTCTAGAAACCTTACCCAACAGAAAGTGGGCCGGATCCGCAACTTGCTGCCGGAATGTCATGTACCTCCGGTGATGAGGGAGGGCAGTAGGACGGCCACCCGCCACTATGCGCTTGCTTTAATCTTGACAACTGAAATCAGTTTTGAGAGAGATAGTGGCCGCTGCCCTTCTCGTGGCTCACTTGGTGTGTGTTTGCTGGTATCTGTCCCTCGATAATCCCAATCAGGCTTTTCAAGAAGTGGACAATCATTGAGCGAGCTCATCCATTTAATTTCGGTCCAAGTAGTTAGTGGATAGGTTTGATAGGGTATAATAGGGTATAGCGCATATTATAACTCCTAAGTCGTGTCTTCTTTCACGTCCTAGCGGATCGGCTGCAGTACCTTGAGTACCATCCCGCCTTCTGAGTGCTCCAGAAGGGTGGTGTAGCAAAGTTTGGGTTGACGTCTTGACCGAGACGAATGTGAATCTTCTAATCCTAATTGGGAGATATCCAGGTAAGTTAGATTAGGGATTGAGAAGTGTAAAAGTTGAACAACACCGAGTAATACAGACGGTAGTCTTTGCCAGAGTTCTTGAATTCCATATCCAAGGTAAGAATGCGAGAACCCGGTGCGAAACTCTTCTCCGTTCTCTGGCTTCTGCATAGCAGATGAATCGGTCACTTATGTGAAAGTGATTTTTCAGATTTCCCAACTGACTCGATGGTTTCACTGCTCGAATGGTATACATTGATGGATCAATGTGTAACGAAGTCCTCGCACTTCACCGGCTTTTTTTGAGCCGGCTGTTCAGTACCAGCCAAATTTGTGTTGCTCACCTTCTCTTTCTCACTTCTAGTTTGGGCCCTTTCAGTAAAGAAGAGACAAAGGCAGGTAAATCACTGACAGCTAACCAGTGTCGCGTCATTCGGTAACTTTCTCTCCTCGTTTTTGTTTGAGATTGGCTTCTGTCAATGATCCCACTTTGCTGGTGGAGGAAAGATGAATAAAAGAGGTGAACGCAACCTTTATTATGCAGCGGCTGGATCGAGTATGATCAGAGGATGTGGTTGTACTAGGATCTCGCTTCTATGGCTGATTGACCGCAACATTGGAGAAGTTGGACGGCTATGGCAATCCGTGCTTCGGACAGGTATGGCGGAGGACAGCAGAAGCGGAAGGCACTTGGAAGACGACGATCCCTTGAATAAATGGATAAGGCATGTCACTGGGTTAGGAAGATAGGGGCGGCAAGGAGCAAGGCCAAGTCACGAAGACGCAAGGTGAATCAAAGGTTGAGGGACCAACGGGGTTGTGGTATTTCAAGTCCTCAAACATTTCATGATTTTTTCGACCAGAAGCTTTCCACGGAAAGCAAGCAAAAGAAGAGCGGGATAACGATTAAGTCCACCCCTTTTGGCCACACAGGGCTTTCCCTCTCCCCAAAACGACATCACAAACAATTGGTGGTTTGCCGACTATTTCACAATGTTTTTTGGTTCGAGTATCTTTCCCTCATTAGTGCAGACCAAGTTGACCCTTTCCTTTTTTGCCCCCAAGATTGCTACCAGCGATCATAAAAGAAAAAAACTCCGCCAGAGTCTTTTATCTACCAGTCCATGACCATTTGCTGTTCCGCCGTTTTGTGGATATCTTTCGCACACCGTGCTTCGATGACCGGTGCGTTTGTAGGTTGATGTGTTTGGGGGAATCCTCTCGTTTTGTATGTCATGCCGACAACTGAATGACAAAAGGGAGTTTACCAGGAAGACTCCTTGGGGGCAGCAGCGGCAGCGTCACCGGCAGCGGCCCAGTCACCGGTGGGAGCGGCGCCAGCGGCAGCCCACTCATCACCAGCACCGTCCCAGTTGGCACCAGCCTGAGCACCGGTGAAGCCGGGAGCCTGGGCGTCCCAGTCGCCGGTGGCGGGGAAGCCGGACTCAATGGCGGCAACGCCCTCCTCCTCAACGCCGGGGAGCTTCTCCTCCTCGACCTTCTCCTCGGCCTCAGCCTCGGGGTCGCGGTCTATTTGATGTGTTAGTTCTCACTTGTTCCACATCTCTCGTGCAGAGCATGCTTATAGGGAGGGGATTCCACATACAGAAGTACAGATCGACCATGGTGTCCCAGGGGGTCTCGCGGTTGTAGATGGTGCCGCGGAGGCGGAGGACCTCACGAGCGAGCATCCACCAGACGAGACCGATGGAGTGACGACCCTTGTTGTTGGTGGGGATGGCAACGTCGACGTACTCGGTGGGGGAGTCGGTGTCGCAGAGGGCGATGACGGGGATGTTGACGTAGGAAGCCTCCTTGATGGCCTGGGCATCGGTACGGGGGTCGGTGACGATGATGAGGCGGGGCTCCTTGAAAGAGCGGGTGATGTAGTTGGTGAAGGAACCGGGGGTGAAACGACCGGCAATGGCGACGGCGCCGGTGTGGGCGGCGAACTTGAGGACGGCACGCTGACCGTAGGGACGGGCAGAGATGACGCAAATGTCAGCTGGGTTGTCGACGGCGGCGATGATGCGGGCGGCGAGGACAATCTTCTCCCTGGAGGCGCAAAAGGTCAGCGATTTTTGCGCTGGCGCAAATTGAGGAGCGCGACTGAGGTTTCCTTGGTGATTTCTTGTTCTCGAAATTCCCCGAGAGGCAAACCTCTCCAACGCATCGCTTTCTTTGCTTACCAGGTCTTGCCAACGTTGATCACGTTGACACCGTCGGCACGGGTCTTCCACAGGTAGGGCTCCATGTGAACCTGGAGGTTCTTGCTTCCCAGGTGGGCTTGAGCTGCAAGCAGCATCTCAATGTCCTGGGAAGTGGCATTGAAGATCGAGGGGAGGTTAGCGGGAGCCATCTTGGGCGATTTCGGTCTTTCTTCCACGGGGAGACGGTGTCGAACGGTGGTGGTGCGGAAAGGGAAGAAAGTCAAGATTTCGCGATCCTCGAAAAAAGTTCGCCCAGTTGTGCGTCTCGAATTCGTGGGTGAGTGGGCAGCTCCTGCCTCTAGCAAAGCCCTCGCTAGGCCCTTGTGGTCCAAGCGTCTCCAAGTCCCGCCAGAGTACGTACCTAACGAGACTTCGAGATCACGTGATACGTAGGAAAGCCGCTAGTACTCTCTAGGAGGCGCCTCCACTCCCAGGGGATGTGCAGCGGAGGACGAACGGGCCGGACGCCATTGGAGTGCTGCTCTCCAGATATGGGACCAGAGTCTAGGAAATTTTATGGTTCCCATTGTCGATGATCGCGCGTTGAAGGGAAACTGCTGTCGCCATGCCTCCCAGATTACAGAGCCTGCAACGGCTAGGCACCGCTAGCTGTAAGCTTCAGGCTTATTCTAGGGGATACAAGAAGCAATTAAAAAGCTAATTGACTGTGATAGTGTGCCTACGCCCAGCTATTAGACCGACCCCGAGCTTCCTCCCCGTCATCCAGACCGCGAATCTTTCCCAGCGCGAGAAGAAGCGCAAAGCGAAGCAGGACCCGTACAAACACCAACAGGCGCTACAACGCAAGGCTGCCAACCAGAAGAGACAGAGCGAGATCCAGGCGGAAAAGGATGCGAGCTGGGGCGACCCGATCCACGGCATTCCGACTCCTTTCGTGGAGTCGTTCGACTCGGCCGGCCAAGCGCCCACAACGAAGCCCGTCAAGGACGACAATGGAAACATCATCTCCGATCCTCGCCCTCTGCCAACTTCGCCGGGGCTTCTGAACCATCTCGTCGACGAGAAGGAGCTCCAAGCAGTGATAGACAAGGCCTACATTTTGACGAAACCTGTTAAGTCGGAAATCAGGGAGCTGGCAGACCCTGCTATGGAGGCATTGGCGGACCAGAAGCATGAGCTGGTTCACGCCAAGGCAGTAGAGGCTCTGAAGCGTATTCTGTCTATGGACAATGCCAACTCGAAGATCCTTCTCCACACCAACATCAAGAGATGCGTCGAGGAGTTTGGCCGACACAACACCGACAAGTTTCTGACGAAGAAGCCCAAGTCTGCTCTCGTGGATCCCAAGGCCCCCAAGCCGCCAATTCGGGGCGGCCCCGACACTGGCAGCTCGGAGGTGCAGGTTGCCATTCTGACCGCCAAGATCAGGAAGCTCTCGCACGAGCTGTCACAGAACCGTGGTTACAAGGACAAGCACAACAAGAGGAACTTGAGGGTCCTGTGCCACAGGCGGCAAAAGCTCCTCAAGTACATGGAGCGCAGTGAGAGGGGAAGCGGGCGGTGGACGCATCTGCTCGAGAAGCTGGGTCTGTCACCAGCGACCTACAAGGAGCAGATCAGCTTCTAGGGTGGGCTAGAAGCGGGAAAGGGTAGGCACGTGTAAAACTCAGACTTGTAATTGTCCTCTATGTACACTATAGCGATCGGTAAAGATGCTGATCTCCACGTCATGAACTTGACCTACCTCCTTGCGCCATTGTGACCTGCCATTAAACGATGAAACTGGTATTCTACAAACTAACAGAACAGGACTGCCAAACATTAAACTCAGAACACGCTGATGTAGTTGCCGATCCGGTCTTTCTGGTTCTGGGCTATGCACTCTGCAATCCAGGTGATGTTACGAATTTCCTGCTTGTCATTAGCTTCGCCCAGCTCACGTTCAGGGGTCTGGTGGTTATTACCTGCTCACGAAGTCTCACCCACGCGTACACAATAGCGAAAGTAAACTGCTGAGTGAATGCGCTCTTGGAGATCTCCATCTCCTTTTGGTAAAACATATCCTCCAGGCTCTTGCCGTCGGAGCTTGAGCCACCGCCCTGGTTACCCGGGCCAGACGGGCCGCCGCCGAGACCAGCTGCCTCGAAGAAGCTCTTGTAGTCACCGACACCGTCAACCGCAAGACGGACGCCCTCAAAGTCTTCCGCTCTAGAGAGCATGAGGGTTCCCTCCGGGTACAGCTTACCAAAGCTGGGGTACAACTTCTTGCGGTCATTCTTGTTAAGCTCGGTGCCGAAGGAGTTAAGCGTAATATTGATCGCCCGGCGGTCGGCCTCAAACTCCAGGATCTCTGACATGACCTCAGCTGTCGGCGAGCCTGCCATATCAGGATGAGTGTTGACAAAGTTGTGGAAGTCCTCCAAGTAGTTCTTGTACAGCGTGTTTCGGACAATCTCGATATTGAGCTCGTCGAGATCCTGGTGGCTAAGACTGCCCTTGAAGTAGGCGGCAAGCGGGGTCTCGATCAAAACACTGTTGTAAAGCTCCTCGATATTCGTCGCAACGCACAGGACTGGCATCGTCTCAAACCAGCCGAGGGGATGGCATCTCTCGAGAAGCTCGCGGGTGTCTCGTTCGTGAAGGGTGCCGGTGATCAACAGAGCAACGTTGTCGATCATGTAACCGTAGGTGAGGTAGTCCATGAACTGTGCAAGAGAGCCGACAGCGTTGGCGCGGACATAGCGGAACTCGGAGACAAGTTTGTCGGTCGTCTTCGCGGCGAGAGCTGACGTCGAGGGGTTGGGAGGGAGGTTGCCGAGGAAGTCGCCGTACGCAGGGCCGAGTTGCAACTTGAGATCTGGGTCCGTATTAGATGTGCATCGCACAGGGGCACATAGAAACACTCACCATCGATGGTCTCGCACTGCGTCAGGTTGGCATAGTTGGAGCCGGTAAGAAGGCCGTTCCTGTATCCACGAACGATACCCTCAATGTAACTGCACCATGTTAGCCACAGCCCACGAGCCCTATCATCCATCATAAACCCAATACTCACCCACTGTTGACGTTGAAGAATAGGCCCTCCATCTTGGCTGTGTTGTGGATTGTTTGGTTTGAAGGCGACTGGAGGTGGTGACGCCGGTCTGGTGGAGGCGCAAACGGAGACAGCTGTGGTCGTTGACTTTAGAACGCTCGCTCTCACTCACTGCCAAACCAAATTACTGCACGGCAGCTACAAGGTCCCAGCAAGGCCGACCAAGTCCACCTTCCCTTACCTAAGGCATTACGAGTTGTAGCAGCGCACAGGCCACCGGAGGCGGCTTTTTTCGGCGAAACAGATTTTACGCGCTCCGGGCCATCCCACTTGCCAATTGGTGTGTGGGGTGGGACCCGCCCAAAGGCTCTGCAGCCATCGAAAAAAAATTGGTGGAGCTTGGTTTGGTTCAGAAAAAAATATTTCCAAACCATCAATCCGCTCGCTGGAAACCTGCCTCCGCCGACAATAACATTTACACCCACGTGCGGAGGATTTCACCCGAGGGACCAACTTGGCCAGATTTGAAGAGCATCGACGGTTCTCACAATGTCTCTCTTCGTTCTCGCCGAAACGCCGGCAGGGTAAGTTTCTATTTGGAAAAGAACCAGAAGGGAAAAAATAGTGGCAGCAATTCAAAAGCTAACACGAGAAATAGCTACGGTCTGTTCAAGGCTGCCGACAAGAAGCTTCTCAAGCGCGATGAGCTCACCACTGGACCGACCTCTTCGGAGCAGATCAACCAGATGTAAGTCGCGCTCCCACAATCGACAATTGCAGCCAGTCTTCAAGAGTGTCACGCAGCAGCGCACACGCGTGCAAGCAAACCTGTTTTCTCGGCTTTGATTAGATCGCTGCGTTTGAGTACAATCGAGGCTGACTATTGCAAAGGCTCAAGTTGAAGTCATTCGTCAAGTTCGATAGCTCCGCCGTCGCCGTCGAGGAAGCCGCCGGTCTCAAGGAGGGTCGTGTCCCGCCAATGCTCGCCAACCTGCTCAAGGAGATCAAGGACGAGAAGAAGGCCACCCTTGCCGTTGCCGACCTGAAGCTCGGTACTGCCATTGGCAAGCTTCCCGACTTGGATATCAAGGCCGTCTCCGATGCTGCCTCCCAGGACCTGTTCCGCGCTGTTCGCGAGAACCTTTCTTCCCTCATTCCCGGTCTCAGCACCGAGACTATGGACCGCATGGCCCTTGGTCTGTCGCACTCCATTTCGCGACACAAGCTTAAGTTTTCCGCCGACAAGGTCGACGCCATGGTTGTCCAGGCTATCAAATTGGTCGACGATCTCGACAAGGAGCTGAACGTCTACGCCATGCGCACCAAGGAATGGTACGGCTGGCACTTCCCCGAGCTTGCCAAGATCCTCAACGACAACCTGGTCTACGCCCGTCTTGTTGTTGCCGTTGGCATGCGCCAGGACTTCGCTGAGACCGATCTCTCCGATATCCTTCCCGAGGAGCTTGAGGGCCCTGTCAAGACTGCTGCCGAGATTTCCATGGGAACTGAGATGACCCCTGAAGATTTGGAGAACATCCAACTGTTGGCCCAGCAGGTCATCACCTACTCCGAGTACCGCACTTCCCTCTCCACCTACCTCGAGACCCGCATGCGCGCTCTCGCCCCCAACTTGACTGCTCTCGTTGGCTACCTCGTCGGTGCGCGCTTGATCGCCCACGCTGGCTCCCTCATTGCCCTTGCCAAGGCCCCCTCCTCCACCATCCAGATCTACGGTGCTGAGAAGGCGCTTTTCCGTGCTCTCAAGACCAAGCACGACACTCCCAAGTACGGTATCATCTACCACTCCTCCCTCGTTGGCCAGGCCACTGGCAAGAACAAGGGCAAGATCGCCCGTTCCCTCGCCGCCAAGACTGCCCTTGGTCTGCGTGTTGACGCTCTCGGCGACACCGAGAACCAGGACGATGAGGAGGAGCGCAGCATCCTCGGCCTTACCAGCCGCATCAAGCTTGAGAACCTCCTCCGCAAGCTGGAGGGCAAGCCTCTCCTCCCCAAGGGTGTTGGTGTTGGCCCTGACGGCCAGCTCACCGCTCCCGGTGGCTTCAGCCTGAAGGAGTCCCGCAAGTACAACGCCGATGCCGACGGTGTCGAGACCGAGGTCAACGGCAAGTCCAAGAAGCTCATCCAGGTCGTCGA